CACGGGCCAGACGGAAAGACAGAGACAGAGAGACAGAAAGCGAAAAATCTCCCCCCAGGGGGGATGGCCACACCGCCATCCCTTCTCCTCCATTCTCCTCTCGGGATCTTGGGCACGTACGCACACACGCCCGGCGTGAGTTTTAAGCCACCCGGTCCGGGACGCGAACCGCAGTTGACTACGTGGGAGTCCAGCGACATAGCCATTACGCTAACTGTTGGTCCCTATGGTTCGACTTTTGAACCAAATTGAAACACAGCCACAGGTGAAGCAAAAGTACTTATTTATTTTATTTTTGGAGAGATTGTTTTATTGTAGGGCTCATTCATTCACTGGAGAGACAAAGAAAAAGTGAGAAATCACTTCCTGGGGGGGGATGGTCATGCCACAGTCCCTTCTCCATTCTCTTCTTCAGATTTTGGGCACACACAGATACACAACTAGCATGAGTTTCAAGCTGCTGGGGCCTGGACTCCCGCCACAGTTGACTATGTGGGAGTCCAGCAACATAACCACTACACCATCTGCTGGTCCCACAGGAGTATTTACTGGCAGGCGGTAGACCAAAGGGATCTTAAAAGCTGTGGTAGATGTTACAGAACTTGGCTTAGTAGACTCCCCAAATGGCTAAAGGCCAACAATGTAATCCTTTGCCAGAAGACTTTGAGGGTTGAAAGTATAAGTTCGTATTGAATCTAGGAGCCTAGAGTAATTGTCTTGTTAGAATGGCTAGGGGCAAAATAAGCCACTTCAGAGCCTTTTTCAGAGACAGAGAAAGCCTTTGTCCTGGAAGAAGAGAGGCTACTGGGAGAGGTAGTGATCTGTGTCAGGAATTAGGTGACAACCCCTTCCTGGTGGCTGCCTGCCTCACTGACACCCAGAGGGCCTTTAGAGGACCAAGCAGTGTTACCAGTAATGAACGCATAGTCAGACTTCATGCAGACTTTCTGAAACTGACTTCGCTCTAAAGTAGCCTTTCCTGTGGAAGAAGCTACAGGGTCTCCTTAAGCTGAAACAGGGCTCTTAATTTATAGTTACATCCTCAGCCACATTTTATTGTAACATTAATAAAATTTCTTAATCACATGATTTGATTAACCTGGATTCAATTCAGAGTATAGATCTGGAAGTTGCACCTACTTATATTTTACAAGCTCATGAGTTTAGGTTTTGAATCAGTTTTGGTTTTTTTTTTTTTAAGAGTTATTTAATTTTATTTATTATTATTATTTTTTTTTTAACGTGGCCAGAGAGAGGGAGAGAAAGAAAGTGAGAAAGCAAGCCACCAGGTCCAGGACTCAAATGGCATTAGAATGCTCTAGAACTCACGTAGTCGCCTCCAAAGTAATGTGGTCCCTTTCACACTGTCAACCTGGAAGGCGTGTGTTTAGCAGTGCTTTCATTTGCCCAAAGCATCTTTAGGATTCTTCTTTTGAAGCTATATCCCTTTTCTTTTTTTTTTTTTTAAGAGGTTTTTGCAGGGGAGTGGAGTCAGCAGGTGGCATGGTGGTTAAGGTGCTGGACCTCCCACATGTCTGGTCATGGTTCAAGTTATGGACCTGGTGGCTTATCTTCTCACTTTCTCTCTCGCTCTCGCTCTCTCTCTCTCTTGCTCTCTCTCATTTACATGAACCAGGTAGCAAAGTAAAAGATGGTAATAATGATAAATAAATCTTTTTTAAAAACGCGTTTTTTGCCATAGGCCATGTACACTCAGCGGGGACAGAGACATTGAGGGGGAAAGTGAAATATCACCCCCCAGGGGGGACGGGCACGCCCCAATCCATTCTGCTGGCATTTTGGGCATACATGTACTTGCACTCTACATGAGTTTCAAGCCACCAGATCTGGGACTCGAACCTTGGTCGGCCACATGGGAGTCCAGCTATGTAACTGCTACGCCATCTGTTGGCCCACTACATCCCATTTTTGAATTTCCACAGTTGCACCAAAGCTTTATATAGTAAGCAGTAGATAGTTTTAGAAGTAGATGAAGGTGGGACCAGCAGTTAGTGTAATGGCTATGTCGCTGGACTCCCATGTAGTCAACCGCGATTTGAGTCCTGGACCCGGTGACTTAAACTCACGCCGGGCACGTGTGCGTGCATGCCCATGATCCTGAGAGGAGAATGGAGGAGAAGGGATTGCGGCGTGACCATCCCCCCTGGGGAGTGATTTCTCGCTTTCTGTCTCACTCTGGCTGTTTGGCAAGCGCACGCGCCCTATAGCAAAAACCTCTCAAAAAATAATAAATAAAAAGAAGTTGATGAAGGTGGTTTGCAACCAACTGTCATACAGAGTGAATCTGTTCTGTTCACAAACAGCATGTGGCTGTAAATTCACACTAGTTTCAAGTGGCTTTCGGCACTGAAGGCCTGTGGTTATATGAGTACTGGCGCGTTTGCTTTTTACGGGGTCTCATAAGCTGCATTTTCCTCTAAGAACTAAATAAGGTGTGTTGCGTTACACATCTGTCTGTTAAAGGAGTAACCACTCAACTAAGCAGAAAATGGTACAAAAAAGGAAAGAAACAGTGGGCCCTACTGGTCATCTTTCACTGTATTTTCTTTTTTTAAGAAAGAATTATTCTACTTAACTTTATTTATCCATTTATCTTAATTTGACCAGAGAGGGATAGAGTGAGAGAGAAAGCAAATCGCCAGGTCCAGGACTCAAACCATGGTCGGCCACGTGGGAGTTCAGCACCCTTAACCACCACGCCACCTGCCGGCCCATACTATATTTTCAATAAAGGGTTGGCTCCTATCCCAGAAGAGATCTAAATTGTGAAGGCCACATTGCCTTGTAGATACTGACTCCTGGGGAAGACTCCTGAGAAGTGGCTTCTGTTAGCCAGGCACAATAGTTACATTCCTGCAGCCCCAGCTATTCAAGAGGCTGGCGGTCGTGCATTTGAGGCTAGCGTCATCAAGCATGGTGAAACCCTGTCTCTTTAAAAAAAAAAAAAAAAAATGAAGAAGAAGCATCTTGTGTTCTAAACTAACGTGGGTTCCCTGTTCTTTTTTGTAGGCATCTAGGTTGGAGAAACAGAACAGCACACCTGAGAGTGACTATGATAACACTCCCAACGACACGGAGCCAGATGACTTGGGGTACATCAGCAAGGAGGGCTGCAGGGGGTGGGCTCGCAAAGCAGAAGCAGTCCACCGCCTACACCCCTAGGACCTGAAGATACCTGGGCCTTCATTCGTGGTTTACACATCTTCTTAGCACATTCTTGCCACTGGGGCCTTTTTTCCTTTTTACCAGCATGTTATATGAGGGGTCTTCCAAAAGCTCATGGAAAATGCCTATTATGAAGAAACTGCGTGGGGAACCAGCAGTTAGCATAATGGCTATGTCGCTGGACTCCCACGTAGTCGACCGCGGTTCGCGTCCCGGACCCGGTAGCTTAAAACTCACACCAGGCACATGTGCATGCGTGCCCAAGATCCCGAGAGGAGAATGGAGGAGAAGGGATTGCGACATGACCATACCCCCTCGGGGGTGATTTCTCGCTTTCTGTCTCTATGTCTCTCTCTGTCTGTCTGGCGAGCGCACGCGCCCTATGGCAAAAATCTCTCCAAAAAAGAAAAAAAAAAAACTGCGTGGATTTTTAAAGAACTTTTGCACTGAAATCAGTTCATACTTTAATTCTGTGAACCTTTCAAAGTCCCCTCATGTATTTGCGGTGTGTTTGAATTCAGTACGTTCCCGTAAAGTCCACATTAGGTTACATTCTGCATTCGTACCCCACGGAATTGGCTCTAGTAGGGATGGCCCCGCAACCACACACCCTCCCTGCTCCAGTTCGTCCTCCCTCTCCCCCTCCTTCACGCTTCACCAGAGTCCCAACCTCCCACCCTGTGGTAGGATAAAACAGCCTCTGCGTGAGCCTCAGCTGCCAGCTGATACAACAGCCTCACCACGAACCTGTTCAGTCTCGGTGAGACAGGATAAAGGAAGCCACAAAAAGCAGCCCTCAGTCAGTGCGTGCGAAGCGGCTTCTTGAACAGAAGCCACAAGCAAGCCCCCGTCACGATCAGCCACCTCTCTCATGTTCACAGGTCAAGCCAAAAGGGAAGGCAAAGGAGTATGGTGTGGCCGGGGGATAGCTCAGTCCCAGATACGGCAGAACCCCACGCAGCCCCGAACCCCACTCTTCCCAGCACTGAAGATGTCATCCGGAAGACCGAGCAGATCACCAAAAACATACAGGAGCTCTTGAGGGCAGCCCAGGAGAATAAACATGACAGGTGAGGGGGCAGAGTGTGTCACGCTGTGGCAGGGACACTGCCAATCCAGGGCAGACACTGTTCAGTGGGCCAAAGCAAGGGTCTTAGAAAACTCCAGGCTTTCGTGAGAGGCTTAGCAGCAAGTTTGTACACTTTGGCTGTATTGTTTCTATGTGGTATTGCTCTTTCCATTTTTTTTTTTTTTTCATTTTTCCTGAAAGGAACCATGATTTCTCATCTGTCTCCCTGCTGCTTGTATGTGCGCACGTGTGTACATATGCATACCAATGTGTAAGAAACAAGTAGTTTAGAAATAAAAGTTGACCGGGGCCGGTAGGTGGCATGGTGGTTAAAGTGCTGGACTCTCACATGGCCGACCACGGTTCAAGTCTGGACCTGGCAGTTTACTTTCTCACTTTCCCTCTCTCTGTTTCCTCTGTCAAATTAAATAATAAATAAAATTAAGTAAGTAATTCTGTAAAATTAAAAAAAAAAAAGTTGAGGGGCCAGCAGGTGGCATGGAGGTGAAGATGGCTTGATCCCACATGACCTACTGGTCAGTTTGAGTCCCAGACCCAGCAGTTTGCAAACCACGCCTCCAGGCACGTGTGTGCGTGCCCAAAATTCCGAGAGGAGAATGGAAAAGGGACTGCAGTTTGGCCATTCCTCCGGGGCACGCTTTCTTGCTTTCTCTCTCTACCTCTCTCCAGCAAGTACCTGCAGTCTATAGCAAAAAAATAAAAAATAAATAAAAGAATCATTGAATTTAAAAATAAATTTAATTTAAAAAGAAATAAAAGTTGATCTTATCATCACCTAATAATCTTCTGTCCATGAAATAAGAGTCTGCCCACTGAGAGGAAGCATGTCCTGCCACAATTTCTTATCAGGTGAGAGCCAACTCTAAATTACCCTTTTGTTCTCTGCAAGTGAATTCTCTGAGATCTTCTAAGTTGCTAACTCTTTGGGATGACATCCTAGTTTGATGCATCTGGCTGGATCTAGACACACTCAGGGAACATCATTTAACGTCGTTCCATGGAGTTAGAGGAAGCAGAAGAGTTTGGTCAAACCCAAGAGCCATCCCACAGAGCTGAGGATTTCCGTGGAGAACTTCTCTTTGTGCCTTGCTCGAACAAAAGGCGTTCCGGGAATGTAGGACTATTCACTCGTTCTCCTTTCCATTCTCTTCTTCCACATAAAGATGCATCTGTACCTTTCATGCTGTGTGTGTTAAAAGCACATCATCACTTTGCTCAGGACCGCAGCTTTGGCAATGAATGACTCCCTATCTTACTACATAAAGGAAAGTTCCACAGCTTTCCAAAATACAGATTTTTTCATTTAATTTTACTTATCATTATTAATATATTTTTTAATTTTGTTCTGGGGCATGTGCACTCACCAGAGAGTGACAAAGAGAGAAGTGAGAAAGCAAGCTGCCAGGTCTGGGACTTTCAACTGCGATCTGCCATGTGGGAGTCTAGTGCCTTTGCCTTAACCACCATACCACCTGCTGGCCCCCAAAGTACAGTTTTTTGTGTTTTTAAAAAAATAATTATTTTATTTAACTTTATTTATTTATTTTAATTTGACCAGAGAGGGACAAAGCAAGTGAGAGAGAAAGTGAGAAAGCAAGATGTCAGGTCCAGGACTCAAACCATGGTTGGTCGCGTGGGAGTCTAACGCCTTAACCACCACGCCACCTGCCAGCCCCGACCCAGAGTACCATTTTTAACTGTCTCTTTAATCTTTATTCCAAGAGTAATTCTTTCCTTAGTGCTTTCCCACCATTTATTAATCCACTTCACTTTTTATTTCCTCTGGTTCAGAAATTCTGTGCTTGTATTTCAAATTAAAATTATGTATATATATGCTTGTATTGTAGTACCGTCTTTGAGAGTTGTCATAAATATAAATATCTGCCTTGAGGCCATTTCTGGGTTCAAAGATTACAGTCCAGTACCATACAATTTGGGAAGTTTGAGGGCTTTTTTTTTGGTTTTTATCTTTTTAAAATTTGCCAGAGGGAACATATGATTGGTGAGGCAAGCAGGGGGTGGGTGTTAGGGTCTTGCCACAGTCCCATCTCTGTTTCTCTCTTCTTTTGGGATTTTGGCCATGCACACAAAGCTCCTGGCATGCTTTTCAAGCCACCAGGCTCAGGGCTCAAACCACACAGCTGACCTGTGGGATCCGGTTGCCTCAACCACCAAGCCATGAGCTGGCCCCTTTTTTGTCATGTTTTCTTTTTTTGTTTTTAAGATGTACAAATTTGTTCAACAATTTCATGTTTCTGATTTATTTATTTTTAAATGTATATATAATGATTTGTGCATATTTATAGTTTACAGTGTGATATTTCAATACATGTGTACGAAGTTTAACTCTCAAATCAGGGTAGGTGGCTTAACCATCATCTCAAATATTTATCATTTCTTTCAGTTAAGAGCATTCAAAATCTCTTCTAGCTATTTTTAAATAAACATTAAATCATTGTTAACAGTAGTCACTATCGAGGCCGGCAGGTAGCGTGGAAGGGCAGGGGGGTGGCATAGCGCAATCCCTTCTTCTCCATTCTCCTCCTGGGATTTTGGCCACACATGCCCAACATGAATTTCAAGCCACCAGATCCAGCACTCAAACCGCAGTTGGTCATGTGGGAGTCCAGCGCCTTAACACCATGCTACCTGCTGGCCCCGCACTTGGTTTTCTTAGAGCTCATCAATGAGCAGAAAAAGTGCTGACCTCGCTGAAAGCACTTTATTAGAAGCAAGCACCAGGCAACTTCAGGAGAAAGTAGATTAAGTGTCAGAATCAGTATATGACGCAGACCTCGGTGGTTTCCCTTACCCAAGGTAAAGACTTTTGACTCTCCAGCAATTCAAATGGATTTGGATAGAAGGAATTTAGAAGAGTCCATTGATTAAATGACCCACAGGGAGCGAGGTGTAGATTCCAGAAATGATTTGTGTGTGTGTATCCAATGATCATTTCAAGGAATTGTTGCAGGCTTTTTTCTCACTTCTGTGGCCTTTTGTGTGGAAACCTTTCTCTCACTAGAAATCAGGAAGATGAAACACAGGAGAATATATATATGACCAACTTGAGGAGGCATGAATTTTTTTTCCTTGCTGTGGGGCACATGGATTTGTTAGAGAGACATAGAGACAGGAAAGTGAAAAAGCACTTTCTCGGGGGCATGGCCACACTGCAGTCTCTTCTCTTCTATTCTTCTCTTGAGACTTCAGGCACGCATGCATACACACGCCCAGCCTGTTTGTCAAACCACTGGACCCAGGACTGAAACTGCAGTTGGCCAAGAGGAATGCACCTGCCTTAACTGCCACGCCCCCAGCTGCTCCACGAGTCTCTCTACATGCCACTGTGTGTGTTGTGTGACTTCTCCTGGTTATAGTGTATGTTACTTCATTTCATATCTAGAAACTTTATCAGATTGAACGAATTCTCAGAAAGTGACGAGGGGCGAACTTCATGGCGCAGTGGTAACATGCTGCCTGGATGAAGCTGGACCCCACATGACAATCACAGTTTGAATCCCTGGCCTGTTGGCCTGAGACACAGTGGGCACATGCATGCATGCCCAAGAACTGGAGGCCTGGAGGAGAGGGATTGCAGCGTGATCAGACCCTCTGAGTGCCTCTCTCTCTCTCTGTCCCCGCTCCGTGTTGTGTGCGTGCACACTATCATAAACGGGTAGGGGTAGGGGGATAGAGGGACTAAGGAAGGACTCACTTTATAGCCTTGTGCCTGCAGTTAATGTGGATGCCGAGAGGACCTGGCACGGTCTCAGCTCCTCCATTAAGGGAGCATAAATGGAACCTGTCCTAGCCCAGAGCATCCTCCACCTCAAAATCATTTTCACTGTCTTTGAATAACCTCTCCAATATTCTTGCAGTTATATTCCCTGCTCTGAGAGGATCCATGTAGCTGTGACAGAAATGGCAGCACTGTTCCCCAAAGTAAGTCATCCCTTCTCCCTTTGGTCTAGATCCCTTTAAGTAAATATCAAGAAATGGGTGACCTTTGTATTTCAGCAACCTTTTTGTAACAGAGTTTTAAATACGCAAACAGCCTTCTAGGGCTGTAAAATATTTTTATTCCACACGAATTTCAATTTTAACAAGACAAGGATGTGTAAGTCGAGTGTTTGGGCAAAACATTCATGAACCAAAATGTCATGTGCAATTTTTTGCCCATGTGGACTAGTGTTTTTCAAAAACTGATTCAAAATAGCACCAGTTACTGAAACTCCCCCGCGGGCATTTTGCCGTTGGAGTCGAGCATGGCGGGATCTCTTGGGCAGTGGCCATGAAGCTGGCAGTGCTTAGAGCAGCCCCACTGGAAGAGAGCCTGACAAAATGGCCTTTCACTCCGGGCAGCAGCTCGGGTTGCTTTTGGAAGATGCTTGTCGCTTGCTCTTGGCCATCTACCAGCGGTTCACAGGGAGTGGGTGTATTTTTCATTTAGAAACCCAAGTCCGACCTGGTGAGGACTTCCCTGCGCTTGCTGACATCCAGTGCCTACCGGCTCCAGTCTGAGTGCAAGAAGACTCTCCCAGGGGAGCCCGGCTCGCCCGCGGACGTACAGCTCGCCACGCAGCAGGTCATCCAGTGCGCGTATGACATCGCCAAGGCCGCCAAGCAGCTGGTCACCATCACCACCAAAGAGAACAACAACTGAGCGGTGGCCACCGGCCCTCCTATTTTCTAAGCTTTTTAAATCCTGATTTTGAATTTAGACACGGAACTCTTCAGATTTTTACACAGAGAAGCATTTAATGATGGTTTAAAACTTTTTAAAAAGAAAACTCAGTATTATTTTTGCATGTTTTCTAACAAATTTTCAACTATTAATTTAACCCACTTGCCTTATTTCATGCCTGTTTGCCAGTTTAGTGGTGTCGTCAACGACTGTCAAGGTCATAATCTCTTGTGTCCAAAAGGACAGTTTCATTGTTTGAATTAGTTAAAATATTTCCATCCCTTAAAACTCCCTGCCTAGGGCTAAAACTATAATGAGATCTTTAGCAAAACATTTTCTTGAGAGAGTTGGGTTAAAGAAAAAAAATGAACATTATCTGTTCCCGACCAAGCATTGTGCAATAAGTGAATTTTCCAGCCTACTGCAAAATCTCTATGTTTGGGGTATCTCCAAACAGGTATGTAGAGAAAGGACTTTGCCACTTTCTAAAAAATAGCGTAACGGTCTCTCTTGGGAGGAAACGATGAGTTGATCCATTTCTTCTGACGTTCTATTATGTTCTGTTATTTAATGTTTTTTATCTCGATCTCCTATCTCTTTATGTTGTACTCTCATCCTCAAGTCTCCATAGAGTCAGAGAGCAGTCACTGTCTGGAGCGTGTCTCATTTGGCCGGTCAGGGTAGGGACCCCACATGCATCGTCACTATCGTCGAGGGTGCTGCTGTCCCTGTGAGCCAGGCAGTTTATTCAGAACATGCGGCAGAGAGAAGGCCCAGCCAACAAGCCATACCTAATCCTATACCACCCAGCCAGATATCAACGTGTCACTGCCAGGAACTGAAGGGAAAAGAAGGAATCTTCTTCTCCCTTTGATTTTTCATGCAAATTTCAGCTACTCCTTTCACCACTCTCAGCTGGCTCACACGAGCCCCTTTGCATTTCTCATCTTTTAAGGACTTCTCATAAGGTAAAATGTACAAGTTATCCGAGTTGGTTTCTGCTTCATAACCTCACTGGTTCTTAGAAAGTAGCCAACTTTCAAGACTTCCTTCAAGAGCTTGCTCTAGCTGACTGCCAGCGCTCCCAGAGCTACCAGAGAGCCCAGGCTGGAGTTCTGGAGCATGCTGAGAGTGTTTTGTAAAGTGTTTCGGAATGTCAGAGCATCTTCCTGTCCCAGCTTCATGTGGCTCTGGTTCAGACTCTCACCTGACAGCAGGTGCTGGGGATGGATGAGGTGAGCAGGGTGTGCAGCTGGGGAGGTTGGAGGAGGATCTGGGGAGCCATGGCCCTCCCAATAGAGAAAGCAGCTCCCAGCTCCCCTCATGTGGCCATGTGGAAATGTAGGCCTGGGGTTGCCAGAACCTGGATTTTTCAAGAGACTCTAGAAATCTGGATCCGTGTGCATGCGTGTGCTATTCCTCATGTATACATGTTGGCAACCAGTATGAACATTTCCACAGAACACATGTAGGTGAGCTGCAGCCTGTAGCCTGCCAGCCCATGGCCTCTGCCATGGGGTCTGTAAACTGCGCAGCGTGAGGGCTCGGCTCCCCTGTGCACTGCCAGGTTAGCCTCTGAGCCCAACCTGTCACGTAGCTGTCCCGCCCTGTGTTCAGTTCTGTCAGAGTTCTGTCACCCATGTATTCTGTCCCATAGTGGTCATTAGCACATGTGGAAAAGTCACAGTAATCAGAGTACAAATTGCCTCTACTCTCACAGAACTGTTTGGTTCATAGCTTGACCTTATGCTCTTCCAAAAGTAGCACCATGACAGTTATTGCTACATCATGGTGGAGGATGCTTCTGTCGCGTTCTGCTACCCTGTGGGTAGATGGGAAAAGGGTCCACTTCTCCAAAAGACTCGTCGCACAGCCTGAGTGCCGCACTGCTGCTGGATGTCCAGGGGAGGCCTCCCAGCAGGGGCCTCCCACGGTTTGAGCACCGTCTGATAACCTTGGCCACATGCTCCGTGTACTTAGCTGGCTGGCCCTCTTTCTCGCACACACCTGCCCTCCTGCCTTGGGAAAGGACCCTGAGCTGGTGCCCTTAGCCTCCCACAGGACATGGGCTTCTGCAGAGACTTCTGGAAAATGAATTGTCTGCAGTAGGTGAAGCGACGTCTTCTCTAGAACACTTGGGGACCTGCACTAGAGGACATTGTCTGTGCCCTCAGAAAAAAATCAAGGAACACGGGGACCAACAAAGCATTTCCAGTTACAAGATCACCACAGAAGAATTTGGTTAACCCGCAGTGCCAAAACTCCGAACAGAAGTTCCCGGGTGAGAGACCCGCGAGCAGGGCTGCAAGTCATCCTTATCGTGTGCCCCGCTCATTCTCTTGGCTTCATCCCGGATCTGGTGTCAGAGTTCTCTGCTCCTGTTGGCAAATCACACCCGGTCTGAACCCTTGTTCCGGCCACCTTTTGCACATGGATGCCACAGCCTTTGCACTAGTGACTGCATTCCGTCATTTCCCCCCCCTTACCCTCAGTTATCCCTCCCTCCCCATGCACCCCCTCCGTGCCCCCAAAGCTGATAGGACAGAGGTTGCACTTTATGAAACCGGCACTTGGCTGAACAGAAGGAAACTGCCCTGCCCCCCACGCTCCTCTCACTGAAATCATCTGCCTTCGAATGCGAATAGTTCTTATTTGCCAAAGAGCAACGAATGGGGCCCAAAGATCAAATGCAGCATTTCCTGAAACCGGAACTATGAACACGCGGCTCGGGCACTGTCACTCAATTCCTTGAGTGATTTCAGTTGCAGAACCAAGAGTGGAACTGGTACATGTTTGTCCTCGACAGCATCTGTGAGCTTTCCAGTAATATTTTCTTTCTTTGTCCTGGTTGAAGGTTACACTTGTTCTTACAAAAGAAAATGCTGCATAGGAAAAATGAAATGCCTTTTATTCAGATGTGTTTTACTCAATGTTGCTCATTACTCTACTTGTTTTTTTTTAATTGTACATTCTATCCCTGTAATTATTGTACCCATTAAGTGTTATAAAATCATTTTGGAATTTGTGCCTGCTAGTTATGCAATAAACAGGCTCTATACATGTCTGTGTAATAATGCTGTGCTTCCTGTCAATTCTGTTTCGAGACACGCAGCAGAAGTTCTGAGGGAAAACTCATAAACACCATCTTTAATAAGAGACACTGTTTAATATGCTCCCTCCCGTGGGGCTTGCCTTAGTCTGCTTTTTTCATTGCTAACAGAAATACCTGAGGCTAGGCATAAATAGAAGTTTGGGACCAGCGGTTGGTGTAATGGTTGTGTCACTGGACTCCCATGCACTTGACCATGGTTCAAGTCCCGGACACGGTGGCTTAAATTTACGCCGGGCATTTGTGCATGCATGCCCAAGATCCTGAGAGGAGAATGGAGAAGGGATTGCGACGTGGCCATGCCCCCTGGGGGGTGATTTCTCGCTTTCTGTCTCTCTGTCCCTATCTTTCTGGTGAGCGTACATGCCCTATAGCAAAAACCTCTCCAAAAAAAATAAATAGAGTTTATTTGCAGAATACTTCTAGTTGCTGGAAAGTCCAAAGCCGTGGCCAAATGAAGGAAGAACTTGTAGCAGAGCAGAGGGTGGTCTGAATCTGTGTCCTTCTGTCTCCTCTCCTCATATAAACCCACCAGAGCTCAATCTTAAGGACCCCCGACTCTGCTGACCTTATCACACCCAGAGGCCCCACCCACCCTGGGGCACCACAAAAGGAGAAAGTTTTGACATCATACCTTCACAGTTCAATCCAGTCCCGCGACGTGGCCATGCCCCCTGGGGGGTGATTTCTCGCTTTCTGTCTCTCTGTCCCTATCTTTCTGGTGAGCGTACATGCCCTATAGCAAAAACCTCTCCAAAAAAAATAAATAGAGTTTATTTGCAGAATACTTCTAGTTGCTGGAAAGTCCAAAGCCGTGGCCAAATGAAGGAAGAACTTGTAGCAGAGCAGAGGGTGGTCTGAATCTGTGTCCTTCTGTCTCCTCTCCTCATATAAACCCACCAGAGCTCAATCTTAAGGACCCCCGACTCTGCTGACCTTATCACACCCAGAGGCCCCACCCACCCTGGGGCACCACAAAAGGAGAAAGTTTTGACATCATACCTTCACAGTTCAATCCAGTCCCAATACATGGATGTGGAGGCATCTGTACAGTGTACACCAGTTCTGTAGCATTGATGGCCTTTTTTTAAGAGATTTTTGCTATAGGGGACGTGTACTTGCCAGAGACAAAGAAAGCAAGATATCACACACACACACCCGGGGAGATGGCCACTCCACAATCCTTTTTCCTCCATTCTCCACTCGGGAATTTAGGCACGCATAAACACACATCTCTGGCTTGAGTTTTAAGCTGCCAGGTCTAGGACTTGAACCATGGTCGCCTACGTGGATTCCGTGATGGCCTTTTTCTCTGTGTTTAGTAAACATGAAAGATCCTGCATCAGGGTATTAGTTCTAGGTATTACATCATGATATATTTACTCCTTAAGTTTACTTTTTTTTTTTTAAAGAGATTTTTGCTATAGGGTGTGTGTGCTCTCCAGAGAGCCAGAAAGTTAGAAATCAACCCCCAGTGGAGATGGCCATGCCACAGTCCCTTCTCCATTCTCCTCTTGGGATTTTGGGCATGCACACGCACATGCCCAGCATGAGTTTTAAGCTGCTGGGTCCAGGACTCAAACCATGGTTGACTATGTGGGAGCCCAGCGACATAACTATTACACCATCTGCTAGTCCCAAGTTTACTTTTTTAAGTTTACTTTTTCCATGAGAAAGGCACCCCCAGTGGGGTCCACATGCCATGATCCACCACCAGCCTCAGCCAACCAGGATCACAGGCATACGTTCACACCCAGCACATGAGCCCAGGGCTTTCTCACGTGGATCCAGCATCACAGTGTTGCATTACTGCTATGCCAACAGCTGGCCACAAGTTTGTTTTAATTCAGTTACAGCTGGCCCACTGCAAGTACCCTAACATCCTCCTAACAGGTGGTCATGTCATGGAGTTAGTCCAGTATCTTAAGGCCGTCAATCTCTTTTCACATTGAGAGAAAGGCCCACCATGCAGATTCCTATGGAGGACTGGTGTAGATTCACATGTAGGTTTATCAGGGCTACGTCACCAGTAGTTGTCTTCGGGATGAGTGACCTGGGACTTCTAAGTGGAATACAGGGCAGCGTGGGACCTGACCATCTCGGTGTTCTTCCCAGTGAAGTCTGAGGAACATGCCCTGCCTTCTCCTCCAAGTCTCTCTTCACCCCTTCTCAAGCCTCTCCCTCCTTAGGACTCATCTTCCCCTTCCCCTCTCCTCCTCGCCGGCCCCATCAGGCAGGCCCTCCATCCCCCTACCCTGTCAGAAGCCCAGGTAATCACCCTTCACCTGGCCCCCTTTCTTAGTCCTATAAGCCCCTTCTCGCCCAGAACCTTATAGACAGGGATGTTCTGAAACCTACCTTGGGCTTGCGGTTTGCATCCCCTGTACTCAGCCTGGCGTCTCAGCCCTCCCCTGGTTCTGGGGCTGGCTCTGTCCCCTCCCAGGCCACCCTGCCCACCACTCGGGCCTTTAGCACTTGCCTACCCCCGTGGGTCTCCAGATCAGAGGGGCTGAGATCATACTCGCACTCACTTCATATATCGCTGGGCTAGGTCCCCTATCACAGCGACCTCATGAGGTAGGGACAGAAACCACCCTGTTTGCAAATGAGGACTCTGAGTCTTGGCTCTTGGAGCCCAGTTCGTATTGGAGCAGGCAGAGCATGGAGCCTGCGCTCTTAATCATTCAGGAACTAAAAGGGGTGGAATGGTGTGACATTGGTAGGTCGACCATGGGAGGGCAGGGAAGGCAAAGACCTGGAGGTCCCCATCCCTCCCCAGGAAGGCCCTGTGGTCCTCTGTCTACCTTGGGAGGGGACTTAAAGGAACAGAGCCTGGGTGACTGGGTCTGTGTTTTGTCTTCTTCAAGTGCCTTATTCTCACCTTAAGTATTTCTCATCTCTTTGTTTCAAATAGATACTCCATAGCCACTGCTCAACTCAGTGTCTGATCTCTTCAAGGAGGTTGGAATTCCTTGGAAGCACATCGACTCACCCCAGGTCAGCCATTCTGGAAGGAGCAGCCATGTACCTGCTGTTGGAAGCAGGAGGCTCCCTTCAGGGCATAGCACAGGCCAATCCGGCCCTCCCAGAGTGGGGAACAGGCCCTAAGTCAAGGGTGAGGAGTGAGGCAGAGAGCCTGAGTATGACCTGCTTCAATGGAAGTCCTGCCCACGTCCTTTGGCGGAGATTGGTAGGTTCTACCACAGGCGGTTTCCTGAGGAGGGGGCAGCATCCCTTGATAGGAACCATGAGTTCTGAGCTCTCTGTGCTGTCTATCTACCATACAGTTTATTCATTTCTTTCTTCCATGGGATAGAGATGGAGATAGCACCCTCAAGAGGATCTTAATGCCACAATCCACTCTTTGCTTTGGCCAGCCCAGATCATGGGCGCACCTGTGCCCAGTGTACTAGGGAGGTTTCTGGACACAAATCCAGAACCTTTTCTCATGACTGCGCCTCACAGTGCCACATTTTACTGCTCTGCCACCACCCGGCCACTCTTACATCTCCCTTCTCCATGTTTCACAGATGAAGAACTGGGCTCAGGGGCTGTCACTCAACCACTAAGTGATGGGTTCCAGGATGAGACCCTGGTCTGCTTGGGCCATAGGCTCTCTTCTGTACCCCAGTTCTTTGGCCTGAGCACCCTCCGAGTGTCTTACTGTGAACTACAAGCACAGGAGATCTGACAGCTATGTGAAATTACAAAGTAGACACCCGTGCAGCCTCCATCAGAACCTTGGCCCACAGGTCCCTCTAGACTTTACTGCTCATCACATCCTTGCTTTAGCTGAACAAGAACTTCATGGACACCGCTAATTATTTAGTTTTGCTGTTTCTGAATGGTAAACGGAGGTGGTGTCAGACATATCCCTTTCTTGTTCTAAGTCAACTAGTCAATGTGCATTGCTCTGGCTACTTCATTTCCAGTGTGGCGTCGCATCCACTGAAGGAATAAGCACAACTTCGTATTTTATGATGGGCAGTTTTTTGTTTGTTTTGAGAGATTTTCACTGTAGGGCGCGTGCGCTCGCCAGACAGACAGAGAGAGACATAGAGACAGAAAGCGAGAAATCACCCCCCAGGGGGGATGGTCACGCCGCAATCCCTTCTCCTCCATTCTCCTCTCAGGATCTTGGGCACATATGCACACGCACCCGGCGTGAGTTTTAAGCCACCGGGTCCGGGACACGAATCGCAGTCGACTACGTGGGAGTCCAGCGACATAGCCATTACGCTAACTGCTGGTTCCCACAATGGGCAGTTATTTTTAGCCTTTGGTTCTCACAGGTAAAGCTGCCATGTCTTCTGGGACATGTACGATTGCACTTCTGCAGGGTGTACGCCTAGGGCAGGGCCTCAGGGTCAGCGAGTATGCAAAGCCGGGACACTGCCCTCACACTGCTCTCCATGCTGCCGGACGAGCAGAGTGTACTTCCCACTGTTCCACAGCTTCAACACAGGTGAGATCCACTGTTTTGCTTTTGCCGATCTAGTAGGTTTGTGATGGAACCTCATTGTAGTTCTATTTTTTGTGTGTGTGTTTGTTTGGACACAGGGTGTGTATACTTGCTGGAGAGCAACAGGGTAAGAGAAAAAGTGAAAAATCGCCTCCTCACCGCCCAGGGAGATGGTCACACCACAATCCCTGGGATCTCGGGCATGCAGATACATACCTGGCATGGTTTTTCAAGTTGCCTGGTCTGGGACTTGAACTGTGGTCTGTCACATGGGAGTCCAATGCCTTAATCAGCACGCTACCTGCTGACCCCAGTATAACAATACATCTGTCACTAACAGCCCACTTTGCAACAATAAGAACAACAGCAACAAAACCTAGGAACTTTATTTCACAATGAATGACCATCTGAAATGGGGGAAATAAATACACATAGGCATAGAGAGGGCAGGGCTTAGAGGCTCACAGCCAAAGAAATCCAAGACAGGAAAATGAAAAACATTAAGGATGACATCTGTGGCTCCATTAGTTTTTACGGCACGGTGAAAGTGGAAGGTGATGCAGCCCTTACTCAGGGATGTTTAATAAACTCTGGCTTCAATAACTAAGAACGAGGCTCTGTAATTAGCCATAATTGACTGAGATATGGAATCTTGAACACAATATAATGGAAAATATTGAAACGTTAAGAGCATAGAAAAAATAAAGCCATAAAAATGTGATTATTGCTGTAAGAGACTTGTAGTTATGTGTAAAGATTAACCTAGAATGTTGTATTGATAGGATGGTGGGTTTCAAGTCTGGTGTAGTTTCTTCAGGTCCCCTGCTCCTGACCTAGGAGCCAGTAAATCCCAGAAGGCTGCATACAGCCAAGACTCCTAAGATACCAGCAGCCCCAAATGTCACACTCCTGCCTTTAGAAGGTTAGCCAACTGGGTGACCTTCTGAAGTCCCTTTGGAGGGTCAGTGACATATGTGTTGGGATCCCTCCCCACACACAATTCTCTATGAAACTTCTGACAAACTGCTTCCTGAGGAAGGAAAGATTAGTTTCTTGCCACCATTCCAGAAAGATGCGTGGACCACTCAGACTGCCCCACGTTCTGATTTGCTCACGCTTCTTATCTTCCAGGATACAAAATACGTGACCCTGTTGGAACCACTACATTAATAAACCCTGAAATAAACTGCACCAAGCCCTACAAGTCTGTCTTCAATAGAACAGTTAATTTTAACAGTGATCTTCAAAATTGAGAAACTTGCCTGTCTATAGTTTGAACCTTCCTTGAAGGCTGATAATGAAGGATGAGGTGACAGGAAGCCACCAGGAACAAAATGGTAGCTCTTCGTATCCATCTAGAATCTTACATTATTTATGCATGTGTTGGGAGACTGTTGGACATCACTCGAATGAATGTGGACCTTTAAAAGACCCTTTCCTGAATAAGGAAGGTAGGAAAGAGCCTCTTGGCGGGTGTTGCCTATCCACACCACCTCAGTCTGGTGGACCCAGTGTGTTTAATCACGTGCCCAGAGGGGCATGGCTGAGCTGACCAACCGTGCTGAGCAATGATGACAGCAGAATGCCACCCAGCCATCTGGTGGCTGCGTGTCAGGGGCCTCAGCGTCCTGTTTTCTATGCTTACAGCACCAACGAAGAAGTCAGTTCCAAGCAATTCTGGGATGTCCGTAAGGCTGAGAAAAGAAAGCGAACAGGAGACTAATCAGACCAGTGGCCTCAGGAGCGCTGGGAATTAACCTCATTTTAAGTAAGAGCTAACAGCACAAGAAATGGTTGTTTTCATTTACAGCTGAAAAAGCTTTGACCCTAAGCCAAAAATGAGGCACTTCATAACTTTCTTTTCCTTCTAAGTACGAGCCCTAAAATATTCTCCTGTGTTCTGTGAAACCCTGATTCTGAGATACTCAGACCCATAGCCAAGGGAGTTGAGAAAATGCTGTTCCCTGCACTTCTGAGAGTCACAGTGTGTAAAGACGGTAACTTCCCACAGCAAACATGTACCTGCCCGAATTCTGTTGCACTCGGTTTCCAGAGTCACCTGACCTGAAGGCACTCTCTCTGGCAGCCAGGGAGTGCCCCTCAGAGTACCTTGTGGCCAGAGCGGCCCTGAAGTGACATGCCTTCTGGGCCCTTGGTCAACCCCATGGTATCTAGCCAGCAGCTCCCTGGGGTTTCCCTGTGTTCCCAGGGGACACTCAAGTACCTCAAGAGACAGGGAAAAGAGAAACATGGACAGGAGGAGAGAAGCCGATCAGACAGAGGTGAAAGGAGGAGTGTCCTGTTTGCCTGGCTTTGCTATCCCAACAGCTAGGACCTAGTGCCACTAGGCTGTCACCCCGCCGGCTGTGGCCACAGCTCTTAAATTGCTTTGTCCCAGACAGGGCAGACCAGCCTACAGTTCAGTGGTCAGACTTCAGTCCTGGGCTGCACTGGCGAGAGCCAGAACAAAAGCACCTCAAGGGTTGCTTGAGACCCAACCAAGGACGGGCCAGCACTGGGCAGAAGTGCCCTACCAGTCAGAAAGAGACACGGGAGAAGAGACGTAAGGGAGGGCCAGGGCGGCCAGGAGGCAGAGCTGGGTGGGACCGTGAGCAACTGGAAGGGCAGGGAGGTGGCAGTACACCAGGGAGCTCCCTACCTTGGGCTGGTAGCCGCGCTCGGCCATCGTCCTTGCCTCCTGCTGCAGCAGGGCATCAGCGAACTGCTCTGTCTGCCTGGCCTCCTCCTCCTCCTCTTCCTCCTGCCGATCTGCCTCCCATGCCTGCAGCTGGCGTTCTGCCACCTAGGTGCCAAGAAAAGTCACCCTGAGACCAGCCCACGGGGCAGGGTCCTGTGTCTGACCAGGAGAGAAGGCCCATTGCGCCACCTAGGCTGGGGAATCCCGCTGAGTACTGGTGATGACAGGTTCCAGAGGACTCGGGGACTGGTAGGTCATGTGTGCCATGCTGCGTGCTTTGGAAAAAGCTCTGAAAAGGCCACGTGTCCGGGAGGTGCCTTGTGTTGAGGGTCAGGTGTGAATGGAATAAATGGAGAACTATGGCCCAGCCAGCTGAGCACTCGCAGAGGGGACCCAGAGAAGGCCGACAGAGATGCCAGCCTGGTGAAAGAGAGAGGACCCGGGCAGAGTCTGAACTACAGCAATGTAGGCTGGGGCTCTCAGACATGAGTGGGCTGTGGATGGGGTGAGTCAGGGGGCTCAGCTCCCGTCCTGTGAGGCAGAACCACATGGGGCTCCTTGCTGAGGTTGCCTCCCACCCTTGGGCTTTGCCGCACCTGGGCTTCCAGCTCCTGCTTCCGGGCAGATTTCAGCTCTTCATGCTCCTCTTTCTCACGATGAGCAGCCTCCCTTGCCTCCTCAAGATTTCGAATGAGCTGCTCCCTGTGTCTTAGGGACTCCTCTTGTGCCCGCCGGTTCTGTTCAATCTTTTCTTGTATTTGTTGTTGTCTTCCTGTCAGAACCTGTCCTCAGCCAGAGCAAAAGGAAGATTTTACTCTGAATCTGACAGATGCATCCTATGAGCCTCAGACAGGCTGCGGCTGCACCAAGACCCAGCCTAACCCTCAGCAGCCTTGGGCCCGACTGGCCAGACAGAGGTGAGCCCAGACAAGAGGATTCAGTGCCACACTGGCCTTGTATGCTGTTGTGCAGAGGGCACTGCACACCTCCCCCCGACACAAAAGGCAGATCTGTGTTGCAGAGAAAGCTGGGCGCTGAGGAAACAGCACTCTCTCCAGGGGAGGGGAACCCTTTCAGCGACAAGGGAATCCCATTCATCGTCAGTGGGTTCTGGGACAAGAAAAAACCCACAAGCCAAAGATGACCAGGGACTTACAGCTCAGAGCAGCAGAACCTGCTGTGTCTGGGACTTGGTCCCAGGGCAGTATGCTGTCCCTCCACCAGCCCAGATTGCCATGGCAGGACTCGAAACCAGGGAAGCAGAAGCCAGCAATGCTCTCCAAGGGACACGTGCAGGAGCCCCAACCAGCAAGGCATTGTATGTTGGGTTTTTTTTTTTTAATAATTTTTTATTAATTTTTTTTATTATTATTTTTTAATTTGTTATAGGGCACATGCACTCACCAGAGAGAGAGAAAGAAGGGGAAAGTGAGAAAGCAAGCTGCCAGGTCCTGGACTCAACCCGTGGTCGATCATGTGGGAGTTCTAGCACTTTAACCACCACGTCATCTGCTGACCCCATGTTGTGTGTTTTTTTAAATTATTATTCATGATAGTGTGTGTGCACACAGAGAGAGCAGGGAGAGGAACACTCCCAGCAGGGTCTGGTCCTAACAGGTCCCTGCCCCCAGCCCTCCAGCTCATCAGGATCGATCCTGACACATGCACATGTGCTGGCATGTTTCAAGTCAACCAGGCAGGAGATGGGAACCGCGGCCGGCCACCTGGCTCCAGCTTGTTCCATTACTCACTGCACCACAGGGTCTGGGCCAGTGGGGAAAGTTAAGTGGGGGAGATGAAAAGCTGCTGGGGAACAGCTGGGATTTACAAGAGCAGACAGTTACCAATTCAGACCCAGTATCCCATGAATTCTAAAACTAGCCTGAGGACAGGCCCAACACATAATCTCTCATTCTAAACCACTTTCAAATAACAGCCAGTACACAGGTAAGCCTTTCCCCACATTTCCATGTGATTGGGGAGTGTCTTCACGCATTATATACACACTGACAGAGGAATTCCACTCTTCAGCCCACTTCTGGGCATCCCCTGAAGAAAAAGTCCTTGGTATGCAAAAGCCTCATACACCAAGATGTTCCCTATAGCTTTTCTTAAAATAACTCTGAAAAAAAAAAAAAAAAAAAAACCAAAAACCCAACAAAGAAGAAAAAAAAAGGGGACCTAATGGCTATGTCACTGGACTCCCATGTAGTCAACCGTGGTACAAGTCCTGGACCTGGTGGCTTAAACTCACACTGGGCGCATGTGCATGCATGCCCAAGATCCCAAGAGGAGAATGGAGGAATCACTCAGGGGTGATTTCTCACTTTCTGTCTCTCTGTCGAGCACACGCGCCCTGTAGCAACGCCCCCCCCGCCAAAAAAAAAGGAAAGCAAACTACAGTTCACCTGTGACAAGGTATGATACAACCATTAGAGTGGTATGAGCAAAGAGCAGTACAATAAAATAAAATACTTAGTCAAATTGCATAGTATGGTAAAGACATGTAGGGCTGGCCAGTGGCCTGGTGGTTGAAGAGGCTACATCTCTCATGGTATACCATGAAGTTCAAGTCTCAGACCTGCTTAAGAAGGCATGTCAAGGAGCTAGCAGGTGGTGTGCTGGTTAAACTGCTGGACTCCCCACATGGCAGACAACACAGTTCAAGTCCTAGACCCAATGGCCTGAAAATCACACCGGATGCGTATGTATGCATGCAGAATGGAGGAGAGCAGCCAAACCTCCATGGGATGATTTCTCACTTTCCTTCTCTCTGTCGAGCACACGTGCCCTATGGCAAAAACTTTAAAAAAAAAAAAAAAAAAAAGGAAAAAAAGATAAGTATGCCAAGCATGTGTATGAGTGCCCAAAATCCCAAGGAAGAGAGAGAGAGAAGAAAAGGGATTGTGGCATGACCATACCCCATGGGACTCCCTCTGTCTCTCTGTGCAGAGCATGTGAGCCCTCTGGCAAATTTATATATAGAAAAATGTCATGCATACAGGCAGAAGAATGGGAAAAAACAATGCCCATGTAGATGGGGCTCTGGGTAACTTGCCATTTTTTCTTTACAGCACTTCTGAATTTTTTTCTAATAAGCTTATACTACCTTTTGTATTTTTTAAAAGACTATTTATTATTATTTAATTTGCTATTGGGCACATGTGCTTACCAGAGAGAGACAGAGAAAGAGAGAAAGAAAATGAGAAAGCAAACCGCCAGGTCTGGGACTCAAACTGCAGTTGACCATGTAGGAGTACAGTGCCTTAACAACCAAGCCACCTCCTGGCCCCAAGCTTATACTACTTTTTAATAAGTATTTTCTTTATTGATGACAGAGCATGTGAGTGCACACCTGAGAATGAGAGAGAGAAGCACCCACCACAGGGTCTGGCCAAGCCACAATCCACTTTCTTAGTCCTCCAGTCCATCAGACCTGGGCACCTGCACGCATGCCGGGCACATTTCAGGCTGACTGGGCCAAGGATTTGAACCAAAGCTGCCATGTGAAATCCGGCTTCATCACTACACCATGGAGTCGGTCCCTCAATTACCTTTATAATGATTTTCTCTTCTATAGGGTGCATGCGCTTACCAGAGAGAAAGAGAATAGGAAATCATCCCCCAGGGGGATAGCCACGTTGCAGTCCCTTCTCTTCCACTCTCCTCTTGAGATTTAGGGCACACACATGTGCATACACACACCCAGTGTAATTTCCAAGCCGCTAGGCCCAGGACTTGAACCACACAGTCTCCACACCACCTGCTGGCCCCTCTTTATAATGACGTTAGAAGCCCCTAATGACCAGAAGACTTTGTTCCCCGAACAATTGGCAGAGTCAGCAGCAGCTCCCAGACACCCACCCTTTACCCGGGCATTGCCGCAGCCAGGATTACCTCACTCATCAGCCTGTCCCGCGCGCTCTGCTCCCGGGCCCACTCTGCCTCTCGCTTCTCCCACACCTCCTTGGCCTCCTCCCTGTGCAGACACAAGATGACAAGGAGGCTCCTCAACACCACCAACAGCAGGAGTGAGCTGGACACACAGGCTCCAACCAAGTCTGTGGGTGCCAAACTCAAATAATGTTACCCACTCAAACTTCTAAAAGATTGTGATTAAGGACAATATTCAGATAGTGTTGTTGTGATAAGTTTTTAAGTTACTATTTTATTTTTATTTTTTTTAAAGTGAATGTGTGTGTGTGTGTGTGTGTATGTATCAGGTTTTTTAAAGAACTATTTATTTGTCATTATTATTATTATTTTAATTTGACCAGAGAGAGACACAGAGAAAGAGAAAGTGAGAAAGCAAGGCACCAGGTCCAGCACTCGAACGGCAGTCAGCCACGTGGGAGTCCAGCAACATAACCACTGTGCCATCTACTGGCCCCACTATTTTAAATTCCTCATTTTTTTACATAAAGCACTTTTGATGATGTGCTAACAGAGGTGAATGGAACCATCAGGACCCAGAGGGGCTTTGCCTGTGCCTGAATCCTGCCCACATCACCAGGGCCACTGCTAGCTCGGCCTGGGGGTGAGGGCCCTCCTAGAGTCTCTGGTCTGGGCACCCAGGGTGTGTGGCTGGATGTCAGATTAAACAGACGAGGACTGTAAAGCACTCAGCACAGGACCTGGAATACAGCGTCAGTGCATGTCACCTAGTCATTATTTCAACCTACTACCTTTAGTTTTTAGGACTCGGACCCACTTTTATAGTCCTAAGTAGCATTTATCATCTTCATAATTTATAACCATTTCAAGTGTATAAGAGTTCAGGTCAGAGCGGATCATTACTCTAAACCACAGAGACTTCCATTTGAAATAAAGCGAACATCCCCCCATTCCAGGTCCATTAGCAAGGTGTGCTCCTTAGGAATGAGGGACAGATGTTTCAGTAAGCTGACCCTCACGGTGACCTGAGGGGCATTTCCAGGTAGCAGAAGAGAGGTCAGGAGTGTCCTACCCTGACAGCAGCCCCTCTCACCTCAACAGCATCTGCAGCTCCGCCTCTCGTGCCTTTTCCAGCTGCAGCTGCTCCTCAACCACCTGCTTCATCCAGGCCACATCAGCCAGGGCCTGCTCCCGCCTGGCCAGGTGGACGCGCTGGTTCTCGTCCTCCTTCTCCAGGAGTGCCTGCAGGATCCGTTTGTCCGCCTCCTGGAGGGAGCAGGGCCACAGTTCGGCCAGTGAACTGGACAGATCCTGCAGCAGCTGCTGCCTCCTCCTCCTACCTGCCTGCCCTCTCTGCCCGACACCCAGAGCAAGTACTCAGATCCTCCCCAAGGATGATCTCCAGAGATGGGGAGGTGGAATTGTTTCCAGGAGAGAAAAGATGTTGGCTTAAGAGCTTTTCTCTGACTACAGGGAGACCCCTCTGCCACCACATGCCCTTAGACACCTCTGGTGGCACAGCTTTTCAGAACACAGTGTGGCAGCAATCCACTCCTCAGAACATGGACTACAGCAACACAAGGGCACAGGTTTAAATGCATGAGATGCTCATAGCAGCTTTTACATACGAGGGAAACCAGAAACAGCCAACCAACCACTGACTGGGAATTAGCTACAGTGGACATCTTTATGTTTTTTAAATAACAGCCTATGGAAACATGACTTGACGTTTTGATACACATATCTGTCGTGAAATTATACCAACAGTCAAATGAATTAACGTATCCATCACCTCATGGTTATCCTTGTTGTAAGAACACTTGAGACCTACTTTCTAAGCAAACTTCAAGTTCCCAACATAGTATTACTGACCACGGTAGACCACAATATCACTGACCATGAGACATTAGATCTCTAGAACTAACTCAGCTTTTTAAAAAAAAAGATTTAATTTTATTTATTATTAATTTGCTATAGGGCACATGCATTCACCAGAGAAAGAGAAAGTAAGAAGCAAACCACCAAGTCTGGGACTTGAACCGTGGTCAACCATGTGGGAGTCCAGTGCCTCAACCACCATGCCACCTGCCAGCCCCGAACTTACTCACCTTATAACTGGAAGTCTGTACCTTCTGACCAACATCCCCCACAACACGCGCCCTGTGTTTTCATTCCTATCGCCGTGCTCACATACTGAGTGGTGGGCGGCATTTCCTTCAAAAGGGGGTGAACAAATGCCAGCCTGTCTCTTCTGACTTACCAGCTCCTCTTGGATCTGCTGTGTGCGTCTGCTGAGCTGTGCATTATACTGGTGTCTCAGAAAGCGCCTGCAAACGAGAACGTGGCTTGCCTTCAGTCATAAAGAACTGTTGGGGAGACAACTGCTCGCTACAGGCTGCATCCTTCCTGGTTTTAGGGACACCATGCAAGTCTGAGGAGGTGAGAGGCCCACCTGCTGGGGAAGACCAGAGCCCTTCCCACACACACCCCAGCTCGGCCTTCTGCCGGAAGGCTGCCATCTGCTTCCTCTCCTCCTCCAGCTGGTCCAGCTCCCAGCGCTGCCTCAGCAGATTCTCCTGCTCCTTCTTCAGTTTGCTCGCCTGTGGTGAGGACGACAGTGAGCCTGACTGAGAAGGCGCGGACCTTCCTTCACTGCACGTCTCCATTTTCAGGAGCCACCACGTAGGATGGCGTGGCCATCCTGATGGCTCTCATCAGGGGTTTCCCTTTGAGGCTGTGAGGCCCTCCGCCCAGCTCAGCTGGCTCATTGATCCCATCTGTGCCAGGCCTTTTCCCAGCCCTGAGGACAAGGACACACCCTGTGAGCTGTGCTCCTACAGGACCCTGTGCAGGTCAGTCCACGCTTCTGTAACTTCACATCTGTCTCTCCCACTGGACAGCTCCCACCACAAGGCCAGGACTGCGGGCCTTGCTCAGGCGCTCTCTCTAGCACCCAGGCAGGTGCTGAGCACCTAAAGAGTAGTGCACTAAGTATCTAAGACTGAATCATTCGGGCCTGGGGAAGGGAGCACAAGGCCTCCTCTTCTGAATGGGAAGAGCCAGGCCTCTCGGGAAACTGTGCATGGTATTCTCCAAGACAGCCTCCCGGACCTAAACCTGACTCCAGCAGGGACCTGTGTGCTACAGCCCCTTGGCCACGTCTACTCAGGCAACAGAAAACCTCCGACGGCAGGTATGGACTCTCCATCATTAATGTCCTAGAATCTGGGCATACCACCTTGGTGTATGGGAGAGGCACAGATGGAAATTAGGGGAAAACCCAGCTGTTGCTGCATTTCCTAGAATCCCACCTGCTTTTTGAATGGCTCTTGAAATGCCCATTTTATAATGATGGGGCAGCTGCAGAGGGTCATGGTGGGCCTAGCAGGCTGGTACCCACCTCCTTCTCCTTCAGCTTCAGCTCCTCCATCTGCTGAAGAAGCGCCTCGGCCTGCAGCTTCCCTTCCAGCTGCTTCCTCTCCTCTTCCGCTTTCATCCGTTTCATCGCTTCCCGCCGGGCCGTCTCATACTCATTTTCATACCGTTTCTTCTCTTGCTCCTCCGTGGCTTCTTGCTATGAGGGGCCAAATGCGAGGTCAGTATCTATAGCTACAGCGAAGACTGAGCCCAGGCCTGAGTCCTGCCCTCTGCTGTGTGCCCCTGGGTGAGGGTGCAAGTGCCGGGATTACTACTCTGTGGGAACAGCAAGGTTGATGCCACCCTTGGGGATGAAGCAGGGAGGCGCTCAGCATGGCACCCGGCAGGGAGAGGGCTCCCAGTGTGGGCTCTCCTCCCCCTTCCATGAGTCCACAGAACACTGCAGGATGAGGCCAGAGGTTAAACCACCACGGCATGGAGGTGCAGACTGTTACCAGAGAGGCGCCACAGCAGGCCAGGGCCGGGACTGTGTAATTTTCATCAGAAGAGGCCACCAGTGACAGAAACGCCTCTAAAGACGCACGCATGACGCAGTGTCCACTGTCCTGGTCACCTGGCCTCATTCTCCCCGGGACTGGTCAGGTAGGATTCCAGCATACGTAAGATCAAAGATTCTGTTTAACATGTGCCTAGCAAGTGGAGAACGAGCCTCGACAGGGTCAATCACATCGAAAGTAGGACAGAAGAACCAGCAGTTGGCATAATGGCTATGTCACTGAACTCCGATGTAGGCAACCAAGGTTTGAGTCCCAGACCTGGTGGCTTAAACTCACACCAGGTGCGTGTGCGTGCGTGCCCAAGATCCTGAGAGGAGAATGGAGGAGAAGGGATTGCGGCATGGCCATCCCCCCTGGGGAGTGATTTCTTGCTTTCTGTCTCTCTGGCAAGCGCATGTGCCCTATAACAAAAAAACCTCTCCAAAAAAAAAAAGAAAAGAAAGAAAGTAGAAAGACTCTGAGCTGTGCGGTGGCACACCATGGTGTGTGGGCCTCCACAGTCACACATACCTGCTTTTTTTCTTCTTTCTGTATGTCCCAAGAGTTGACCACGTGCTTCTTATGAAGGTCCAGCTCCATCTGAGGATGACAAGGGGGAGAGTACTCATTTCTTCCCTGGCTTCCTTGACAGCACTGCGGGCTCGGCGTGCTGCCTTCGTGCCAGTCACGCACCCGGATACAGGTCAACCATGTTGAAATAACCACTGATATCAGTGACGTGAGTGTCTCTCTCCAGCCCAGTCTCCACTGAAGGATGCCAACAATCCGAGACCACTCTCTCTCCCTGCCCACAGGTCCCACAGACCCATCGTCTTCCCTGCCACCCCAGTTCAGGCCTTCCCCGCCACAGCCCGCATCACCCTCCCTGCGCACCTCACTTCATGCACAGTCACCTCCATCTAGAAAGCCCTTTCTTCACCTCTACACCAAGTTAATGGCCGGATCCTTCCAGACTCAGCAACTCTGAGATGCAACCACCAGCTGAGTGGGGTGCCCCCCCCATGCTCATCTTCCCAGGCCTGCTCAGCACGCCAAACCTGCCTGTGACAAGCTACCAACTGTCACCCCACTGGATGGTAAGCTCCTCTGTGCTCTTTTTAGATGGTTGGGGGTTCCCATCTCAGTTTCAGCCCAGCGAAAAATGCATGTTAAAAAAAAAAAGTCTGGAAACACACAATTTCGTCTACTTAGGCAAATCAATGGAAGGTTCTTGATTTTCACCTCTCGAAGCTTTGGGTGGTTGTTTTTCCAGTGTTCATACAAAAGTCGTTCAGCAATCTATCAAAAGAGCACAAAGAGGGAGGTCTAATGTTGTTCTCTAAATCCACGCACAGCTCAAGCCCAAACTGCCCATCACCCACTCAGTGCCGCTGTCCCTGCTACTCCATTCACGGACCTCCCGACCACAGCCCTGGGAGCGAGACAGCTGTGCAGAACTGACGGCATCGGTGGATCACTCTTGCAAAGGTGACAAAAGGCCAAAATCTGAAGCTACAGATGGGTCCTGTCTAGGGGAGTTTCAAAATATAACAGGCTGAGAAACACACACTGGGGCTTCCTGCTCCACACAAACACTTTGGAAGATGAACTATACAGAACAGTTCCAGTTCAGTTGTGGGAACACATACTGCTAAGATGCAGATACTCAGGGGTTGAGGCCACATGGGAGAGCCCAGGTTCAATTCCCAGCTCAACCTAAATAAGACAGACGTGGCAAAGCATGCGAATAGTCCTGCTATCCAGGAGACGAGGAAGGAGGATCCCGACATGGTGAGACCCTGTCGAAAATCGGTATTTTCCTCTTCTTCCCTCTCCCAGATCTTTGTAGGAACACAGAAATGGAATTTATAAAAAAAGCTGTAATGAGTTAAGGGGCTAAGGAGAACAGAGCTGCCTCTTCCTGCACAGAGTTAAGAGTAGGGACTTTTCTCACTGGCTCTGGAGCTAACTAGTTTCTCTTCAGACCAGAGGGCCCAAGGCTGTGCCCAACACTGGCAGGCTGGGGGTACTTGCACCCACGCCTCCCAGAGGTCTGTGGGACGTTACCAGTTTCCTTTGCTCTTCTCGGGCCGATTTCAGATTGCTATGCTGCTCCCGGATCCTCCTTTCCCGTGAGTTCATGCTTAGCCTCAGCTCCTCCAGTTCTCTGGCCAGCAGGTCCTGCTCCTCCAGCATGAGCTGCCTGAGTTTCTCTCGTCGGGCCTCCAGACTCTTCCTCTTCTCCTCCTTCATCTTCTCACGCTGATAGGCGTGCATGCTGGGTGAAAAGGTACTCACAATAATCACTCCTGCTACAGCCTTGGGAGGATGCTCTGCTCTGTTCTGTGGGTGAAAGGGGCTGAGGTGGGCCCAGCCTGGGGTAGTGAGTACAAACTGAACTGCAGTGCTAGAAGCCACAGGGTGGACACAGGTCTGGACCCTGGGTCAGTCTGAAAACATGCAGGGTGCAAGTGTGCCCAAGATCCTGACAAGCCAGAAGGCTGGAGAAAGGGGGTCACAACATGACGAGACCCTGTGCAGGAATCTCTCTCTCATGCACATGCTATCATGAACTTTAAAATATAATAACTTTTTTAAAGAATTACTTTATTTAACTTTATTTATTTTTTACTTACTTATTTTAATTTGACCAGAGAGGGACAGAGAGAGAGAGAGAGAAGAAAAGGAGGATGGCCACGCCGCAATCCCTTCTTCCCTATTCTCCTCTCAGGATCTTGGGTGCACATGCACAAGTGCCCGGCGTGAGTTTAAGCCACCAGGTCAGGGACTTGAACCATGGTTGACTACGTGGAGTCCAGCAACATAGCCATTACGCCAACTGCTGGTCCCAATAGCTAATGTTCCTGACTAGTTACCAGGTTCCAGGTATTATATACGACAGGTGGTTTACATTACTCATCACATGAGTCCTGCAGAGGAGGTTGTTTTAGCCCTACTTTCTTTCTTTTTTGTTTTGTTTTGTTTTGGAGAGGATTTTGCCTTAGGGTGTGTGCACTCACCGGAGAGAGAGAGAGAGACAGTGAGAGGGAAAGTGAGAAATCACCACCCAAGGGAATAGCTGCGCCACAATCCCTTCTCCTCCATTCTCCTCCTGGGATCTAGGGCATGCATGCACATGCAACCAGTGTGAGTTTCAAGCCACCAGGTCCAGGACTCAAACCATGGTCAGCCATGTGGGAGTCCAGCTAGGCCATCTGCTGGCCCCAGCCCCACTTTTCTGATGAGGAAACTGAAACTCATTCAGGTAGCGACACAGTCAGGATCTCCACCTAGGTCTGCCTGACTCCAAAGCCTATGCTGCTTTTTCATTTGTGAGAGAGCACAAGCATGCACATGTGACAGTGAAAGAGAGACAGAGTAAGACAGAGACAGGGAGGAGCCCCCTCCACTTGGTGTGGTCACATCCCAACCCCCTTCCTCCAGTCTCCCCCTGCTGGATCTCAGGCACTCGTGTGCTTGCCCAGAGCACACCAGGCTGCCTGGGTCAGGGATCTGAACTAGTCGTCGTATGAGAACAAGCGTCTCTCGAGCAGCACATGACCACAGCTCCACAGAGCTGCCCCGGCGGCTGTGCTTGTAACTTCCACATTTTACACGTCTTTGTGTATGCATATTTAAACACAGCACATAAAAGTACGGAAACATATGCACCAGACTGTTAAGTGGGGTTCTCTCTAGAGATGTGGGGTTACAAGGCGGCCCCTTCCAGTGTATCGTCTACTACATATTCTTCTGTGTCATTTTATTTTCCTCAGTGCAATGAATTACTTCATTGATGATCCCTTTTTCGATTTTCAGCTAGAAAAACAGCGCCATGCGGGTAATCCATACTGCTTGTTTTCCTGAATCCCTTGAGAGAACATGCTGTCCAGGAATCCCTAGGTCCTGAGCAGCCAGTGACCCCCCCTCCCCATCCATCAGCAGTCACCACAGTTACCTCCGCTGGTAGGAGGACCTGGAGCTCCACTCTGCTTGTTTGGAGCTGCGGATGTCAGACATCCTGAAGTAGTGGCTGTTCTGGTCCCACTGTTGCCGGAGCCGGGCTGCCTGCTCTCGGTGCCGTGCCATCTGCTGATCCAGGGGCCTCCGCGTGCACCAGTAAGAAGGCAGCGTGGGAAGCGCCATCTGAGGAGAACAGCAATGGCAGCCAGCTATGCCAACTGCAAACTCACCCAAGCTTGGCCTCAGTGAGTGAGTGGCCCTCAGCCCGTGGCTATACACTGGAATACTTGGTACAGTTTTCTGAAAATATCCAGGGCCAGCAGGTGGTGGGCAGGTTATGCTGGATCCCACATGGTCATCTATACAGTTCAGGTCCCAGACCCTGCAGCTTGAGAATTACGCCAGGCATGTGCATGTGTGTGCCCAAAATCTCAGGAGGGGAAGAAATTGTGGTATGGCCATCCCCCTTGGGGGAGGGAGGTGATGTCTCACTTTCTCTCTCTCCCTCCCTTCCTCTTGTATCGTCTACTACATATTCTTCTGTGTCATTTTATTTTCCTCAGTGCAATGAATTACTTCATTGATGATCCCTTTTTCGATTTTCAGCTAGAAAAACAGCGCCATGCGGGTAATCCATACTGCTTGTTTTCCTGAATCCCTTGAGAGAACATGCTGTCCAGGAATCCCAGGGCCTGGACCAGCCAGTGACCCCCCCTCCCCATCCATCAGCAGTCACCACAGTTACCTCCGCTGGTAGGAGGACCTGGAGCTCCACTCTGCTTGTTTGGAGCTGCGGATGTCAGACATCCTGAAGTAGTGGCTGTTCTGGTCCCACTGTTGCCGGAGCCGGGCTGCCTGCTCTCGGTGCCGTGCCATCTGCTGATCCAGGGGCCTCCGCGTGCACCAGTAAGAAGGCAGCGTGGGAAGCGCCATCTGAGGAGAACAGCAATGGCAGCCAGCTATGCCAACTGCAAACTCACCCAAGCTTGGCCTCAGTGAGTGAGTGGCCCTCAGCCCGTGGCTATACACTGGAATACTTGGTACAGTTTTCTGAAAATATCCAGGGCCAGCAGGTGGTGGGCAGGTTATGCTGGATCCCACATGGTCATCTATACAGTTCAGGTCCCAGACCCTGCAGCTTGAGAATTACGCCAGGCATGTGCATGTGTGTGCCCAAAATCTCAGGAGGGGAAGAAATTGTGGTATGGCCATCCCCCTTGGGGGAGGGAGGTGATGTCTCACTTTCTCTCTCTCCCTCCCTTCCTCTTCCCTCCCCCTCTTTGCCAGTGTTTGACCGAAAAAAAAAACTTAAAAAAAAAAAAAAAAAAAAGAACAAAAAACCCCTAGGCCCTACTCCAGGCCAATTAAACTTTCAAGAATCTTAAGAGTGGAACCCAGGTACCAGCATTTTTTAAATGATTTACCACCAGGGTTGCCAATCATCAATTTAAATAAACCCAGAATGAGTGCCAGGCTGTGGACTGGCCATCACCAGGGACACTACGGACAGAGTCAGGGGCCATCCTGGCAATGCCAGACCAGTACACTGTGGACTTTCAAACTCTGCGTAAAGTATCAGGGACGATGATTTAAGGGACATCTGCGTGTGCCGAGCATTTGACATCACATCGTGATCTGGCAGGTGAGAAATCTTAAGTTCAAAGAAGTGAAATGATTTGCCCAGCATCACAAGGCCAGGAAGCAGAGATCACAAAGGATCTGGATGTGGATGCACGTCAGCTTGAAACCAGAGCCTGGGCTCTGGAAACTGCGAAAGTTCCCTGTTGGCTCTGGCAGCCCCAAGGGAAGGGCCTAGGCCAGGTGTTGCACCCAGAATTGTTCTGGGCTACCATGGAATTTGGCTACCAGAATTGTTCTGGGCTACCATGGAAGGCGCTTGAGCCCTCAACTGAGAGATGGAGAGACTGCAACTCAGAGACAGGAATTTGTCTGGGGCCACGGGGCAGTCTGGGGACACTGCTGGAGACCTGAAAGCAGAGGGCAGTCTCACTCCAGACTCCTTTCCCCCCATCCAAAAGCTGCCCTGGGGCCAGCAGGTGGCCTGGTGGTTAAGGTGCTGGATGCCACGCGGCCAAGTCCACAGAGTCCAGGGCCTGATGACTTGAAAAACACACCAGGCAGGTGTGTGTGCCTGCCCAAATCCTGAGAAGGGACTGTGGTGTGGCCATCCCCCTTGGGAGTGTGGCGATCGGAGTCTACCGACCACATAGAGCCCGTGGGCTGCCGGCCTGCGGCCTGCGGTGAGACTGCGGCAGGCTTAACGTGCTCTCTCCCCGGTCCTGTAACGCAGCCCGGGAGTCCGAAGCTACGACCGGGCCGGGCCGGCCACTAATAACGCCGGGCAGCTTTCCGAACAAGTCGGGTCCCTTTCTCGGCGTCAACATCCACCTCTGAGAAGCGGTTCCGGAAGGAAGTGCAGGACCAGGAGCTCCGCGGGGGCCTAGTGAGGATGGACCCCGGCCCCCAACGCCCTGAGCCGGCGCCGCGGGACTCCCGCCCGGGTTCCCGCCAGCGCCGGGCGGCCGGCGGGCGGGCCCGCGGGGTCG